CTACGACTAAATTAATTGCCATCATTAACATAAAGCAATGCCATAATATAATCATGTGTGCCATGAGGCACACTGATGCCTTTTGACACTAAATCTCACAATGATAATATGAATATTGAACATAAGTGTCAAAATTATCATTAGAATTCTCAATGACATACAATGAAAATGACATTGGAATTAACATATAAACATAAATGTCACTCTCACCGAGTACACACTAAAGAGGACATTCAGAGTGAAAATACCATTAATATTATCGCCAGGATATCATAACATTTTCCCAAAAAAAATTGGACATAAATTTTTCGCAAGGATTCACAAAATAACAACATTTGGCAAATAAGAGTTGTCAAACATATGACAACATGTACTTTTGAAAACAAATTTTTGTTTAGGGGATTGATCATAACCCAAATAAACATTATTTGAGTCTTTATGCATATTTCAATGGTGTATATCATAATAAAATGACATGAAATGCACCAAGCAAAAAAAAACTTTATTTTTGCCCAATAGACATAATGCCCCAACATTATTATGACACATAGTGCGGTGCGGAAAACCGAACCACGCGTCCATCATCATTTTCCTTGAGGTGGCCCGAGCCCATTAGAAATTACCACATCTTTAAGAAAAAGTCATAAGTATGGCATCAACATTAAATTCACACTCAAATAAGTTTGCATATAAAATATTTGAAACATTACGAAATGAAACATTATAGATTGTGATCATGACAAATGTCATTTCATAACATTAATATTTAAACTTTAAAATGATAAAAATAAAATACCACCACTAAAAATGCCATATATGGCATTTACATTATACCACATTAATATTTTCCAAATGAAATTTCTCATTGGTCCATTTTATTCAGAAAATTCAAACATTATCTTTAGCATAATTTAGGCAATCAAGACGTATTAACAGTGCATAAAATAAATTATTACTAATATTAACAACATGATTCAAAAGCACCAAAAATACCAATTGCCTAAAAGACATAATTTGGCTGATAGGAACCCACAGCAGCCCTTTAAAGAAAAAACAATATCATTATTAATACTGCCTGTTAGACATTTTTGGGCATATTGTTTCTTAATAAAACAGTGCATAAACCATCAAAAGAAAACTTGAAACAACCCTTTTTTTAGTCCACTTGAAACACATCAAATGCACTGAAAATAAACAAAACGACTCGATACTTATTTTCGGCCTAAAACCAATGGCAACCCATAAAAGGAACGATCCAGCAGCTAAATTCGTTAACATAAGAAAACTTTATACTGGGCCAACACAACCTGGGTCGTAGCCTACGGCCAGATTAGGCCCGCTAAGCCACCCGCAGCCCGACTGCAGCGGAGCATCAACGTCAGCCGTCGATCCCATCTAACGGTTGTAAGTTGCTTCCTTCGGAACAAAACTGACTCGCGCTGGCAAAGCCTAGCGCATTCTTCTCTCCTCCCCCGCTTTCTCCGCTCGCGACCGACCAGAAACGCCACTGGCGGCGGCACAAAGCAAGGCGCGAGAGCCCGGTGTCCATGGCGGTTCGGCGGCTCCGCTCGCCGGAGCAGCGTGCAACGGAGGGATCCCGCGCGCTGCTCCGTCGAGCGTGGCCACCCGTGCAGCTACACGACATTTATTGCGGGATGCCGGAGGAGAGAGCAGTGGTGCTAGGTCGGCCGTAAGTGCCCGCCAGCGGTGAAGCGAGGCACTCGGCGTCATCCATTAGGCGTCGTAAACCTGCGGCTCGTCCGCCGCTGCGAATGGCGATGGCACGCCTTCAACGATGCTGCTGCAGCATGAGGTACTGACGTTAACGCGCATGGCGTGGTGGCCATGCTCGTAGGCGTCCATGATGTGTGTGCGGCACGGCAACATCTCCAATCTGGAGCGGGTAAGCAACCCCAGCCCAAACATGTTGAGGATTTATTCTTTGCTTCTAGTGCTCGGGATTTGGGGAAAAACTGCTTTTTTTTTTCGGGATCTTTTCTTAAAAAAAATTGAATCCTTTTCTGAACCGAGGCCACAATCGGTGCTAATATATTAGGCGAAAATTTAATTTCGGCTATTTCATAATTAGCAAACATTAGTCAGGGCAATTAGCACTTAACCCAGATGTCATCATCATTATTCTGTAAGCGGAAGCGATTTATACATGAACATTACTCAAATTCGTAAGGAATTAGACCATGATTAGTAAATAACATAAACCGAGTCTAATTGGAGTTCTTAAACAGAGATCAAACTGGCTCAAGATACCAATGTTAACAATAATACTTTAGAGTTAAGATAACTAGGATCTGGATCTCTTGATTAGAACACCCCTCAAGCAGAATAGTGGTTACTAACCGTGATTATCTTGATCCATTAACAGGATAGCCCCTGGCTCCACCTTAGCATCTCCAGCAGTGAGAAGATCGTCGGGAGGAAAGGGCATCAGCAGGCGATGTAGCAGGCACGAAGGATGCCGCCGGCACAGACCTGGAGGTGGCCGGCGGTGGTGGTGGTCTTCTGATCCCCTTAAGCACCCTTTCAGGATCGGCTGTTAGGAGTAATCGGGTGCTAACCCGTACGTGTGTTTCACCCCAAGGGGTACGACCTCCTCATTTTGTAAGTGGTGCGAAGGAGACAGGGACCAAAACCAAAAGTTGGGTCAATGCCCCCGATCAGGGCATGTACTGGGGATGCAAATCCTCCCCTTCTTTGTCTCAGTTTGTTATAACCGTAGATCAATTCCAACAACTACCACTACCATCGGCGCCATGATCCGAACCGTTTGGAAGATTTGGGCACCTCAATTGCAAAATAGGATTTGGATGGTCAGTCAGTTGCACCATAAAGGATGGCTAAATTGTGGCCTTTGCCCCCTTAGCAAGCAAGTTCTAGTCTGTGACACATCTCTCTACCATTGCCGATGCACGTTGAGAGTCCTGGGCTGAGGTACATAATTGGATAGGCCTGCACGGCATCTCACCTACTAAGTGGGGTAATGCAACATCGGTTAAAATGTGGTGGACTCGCATAATTAGCACAGTGGCCCCATCTAGAAGGTCTTGCTTCCTTGATGATGCTTATTATTTGGGAGATTCGAAAGGGGCGCAATGCATTTTTTTGGCAAGGCTATTGTCCCTATTGGAGCCATCGTTGCCAAGATCAAATAGGAAGGTTCGTTGTGGGCTCTCAGGTGAGCCAAACATTTGAAATGCAATGCCGTGAGAGTAATTCTTTTACTTTTCCCCGCTTGATATCAGAAGGCTGATAAAACAGGTGGAGTACCAATCCCATTGCACCTCCCATACATCGAAACACCCTCAAAACCAAATGATCCTTTTCTAACAACTCAATTCGTGGTTCACCATGTGAGCGAACTACAAGTGTTCACTAAGCTTAATTATCCATGACACAGTGATGTCCGAGAAAGTATCCAGATACACGGTGCCTTTTTGTCCATGGTGCATCCATCTTTAGCAATACCATCTAGAAATTTTCAATAATTCTGAAAAATGATTAGCATATGGACACAATGTTTATTCGCTCTGCTGCAAAATATCAGAATTTAAATCACAATTGAAATTAATCTCTGCATGAATAGTAACTAATCTAAGTTGAGCTGTCCCATTAATGAACTATCCGCACCGAATATTTTTATTTTTATTTTGGGACTTATGTTTTAGATTTTGATTTGAGAACTTCTGGAATATAGCATACTTGTCATTTATGTAAACAACACAATGTGCAATGACTAAAATCAAAGCATCTTTTTTTTCGAAAAACAGATCATTTTCTATAGGAAGTCACATGATATTTTTATTATTTTTACAACAAACTATGAGCTAGAAATTTAGAAGACTATGCTTTAATACCCAAGGTGAATTCAAACTGTCTAGACTGAAGGTGATCTCAGAGCTGCATGAGAGGTTCATTTTTTTCTGTTTCCTTTTGAAGTATGACCTGCATGAGAGGTTTTTTTTAGGGAAAGTATGAGATAGCTTCTGTACGATAGATAGTACGAACTTGGCTTCATGATCTAAAACAACCCGCCAACCTAGATAACACAAAACACATAACTTATGTTCCTCTAGCAAAATAAAATAGTGTCATATTCAGATAGTCCACCACATGCATGCTCCAGCTTAGCAGATCTTGTTTCTATTCATCCACGTGGCACACTAGCTATAGTGGACAACCATCTAGTGATATGTGGCATAGTAGGTAGTGGGGGGAAATGTCTTTCTAAAAAAAAGGAAAACCCAAGGACCCTATACGAGACATAATTACACGACTCATCGTCTGCTGGCAAAACAAAACATCACCATAAAAGAAACAACTCATTACAAGCTCCAAATTGGTAAACATGTTTGTATTCATCCACGTAGCACGCCAACTAGTGGAAAACCAAATGCTGGCATGTCGCGTATCAAGTACTGGTGCAAAGCCTATTCCATGAAAAGTAAAACCTAGTGAACCTGCATGAGACAAAATACATGACTCACCGCCCGTTGTCAAAATAAAACATTGGCATAAAACAGACAACTTATTAAAAGCTCAACATGATAAATGTTGTATTTATTCATGCCAACTAGTGGACAACCAAATGCTGACATGTGGCATAACAGGTGGAACAACCAAATGCGGACATGTGGCATACCAGGAAGTGGTGCAAAGCCTAAAAAAATAAGAGGACCCAACGACCCTACATGAGACCAAATAGATGGTTCACTGTCCACTAGCAAAATAAGACAATGCCATTCAGTAGACAACTCATTGCAAGCTCAAGCATGACAAATGTTGTTTGTATTCATCCATGTGGCACACCAACCAGTGGACAACCAAATGCTGACATGTGGCACAGCAGGTAGTGGAGCATTGCATGCTACACAATGAGGTGCTCCACCTTGAGACAACTAATGGAATCCGAGGCTCCGAAACTATAAATGTTGACCCCATGCCTTCTTGAGTTAGGCACTTGTAGTATAGGCTAGCAAAGCATCATGGTTGAAAACCACCCGGCCTTCACAATGCCAACCACTTCCGACAAGGAACTTCTGCAAGCACACGCCGAGCTTTGGAACCTCACTTTTAGCTACCTAAAATCCATGGCGCTCGAGTGTGCCATCAATCTAGGGGTTCCCACCGCCATCCACCGATGTGGCGGCACCGCCTCATTGCCAGACCTACTTGCCACCCTTCCCATACCTGAGAGCAAGAAGTCCTACCTCCCTCGCCTCATGAGGTTCCTCGTCGCCTCAGGTATCTTTACGGTTGATGTCCCCGCAACAGGGGAGTGCGCTAAGGTGGGTGCAACTAGTACCTACTGTCTCACACCGTTATCTTATCTCCTCGTGGATGGAGACGACACCGACGCCCACCAGCGCACGAGCCTCTCGCCGTTTGTGCTCTCGCAGACCAACAAGTACCATGTAACAGCGGCCATGCACTTCTCTGAGTGGTTCACGAGCGAAGAAGGCTCAGCCTCGGCTGAGATGCCATACATGATGGCAAATGGCACAAATCCATGGGCAATCATGGCTCGTGATGCAAAGCTAAATCAGGTCTTCAACGCTGGCATGGCGGCTGATACCCAATTTGCAATGAACTTCATCGTCAGCAATTGTGGCGAGGTGTTCGAGGGGGTTACCTCGATAGTTGATGTTGCCGGTGGGACGGGTACGGCGGCGAGGGCAATTGCCAAGGCCTTCCCACACATTAAGTGCTCAGTTCTAGACCTCCCTAACGTTATCAATTCCATCTCATCCGACGGAACAGTGGAGTACATTGTAGGTGACATGATGAGTTCCATCCCAAGGACTGATGCGGTGTTCCTCAAGGTACGGCACTAAGTTTGTTTTGGGTGAACTTTCTTATGAATTGTTTAATTGACTTATGTTAGTGTTGGCTGCAGTATGTGTTGCATGACTGGAACGATGAGGATTGTGTGAAAATCCTAACACAATGCAAGAAGGCGATCCCCAAACCAGGGGGAAAAGTGATAATTGTGGATATGGTCGTCGGGTGTCCTTCCAAATCCATGTTCAAAGCCCAAGTCTTGTTCGATCTGCTGATGATGGTGATGACATCAGGCAAGGAGCGTGAAGAGCATGAGTGGGGCAAGATATTCATGGATGCAGGGTTCAACGACTACAAGACAAGGCCTATTATGGGGTGTATGGCCGTCACCGAGCTGCATCCTTAGCTAGCCAAAGAATGGTTGATGTGGCACCCCAGATAGGGGTGAAGCCAGTATAAATGCTTAATGGGTTCACCTTCTCCATCAAACTATTGGGTCAAATCAAATAAAGATAGTGCTAAGTAGTGACTTAGTACTAGTAGAACGAAATCAATGGGTTCAGCATGATGGATCTTCCCTTGGCCACAGAGTTTAATTGTTGCTATTCACATTTGTCCCTTTTCATGGCTAGTTTCATTGATCATATACATTTATTAAGACTAAGAAGTAGTGCTTCTAGTTTGATTTTTATTTAAAAAAAGCAATGAGACGTGTTCACAAATAGTAAAGGAAAATAGGGCTTGAAATTAAAAAAATACAAATTGAATTAAACTGATTATCAAATTGAATGATTGAAGAAGCAATGATACATGTGTATGTATTGTGTTAAAAAAAGAAGCAATGATACCTGACAGACATACTATGATGGCAATGTTTGCATTGGCGGTCCTCCAGGCACGTCACGTAGAATAAGTGTCCGTCTAGTTTAATCAAGGGAATTATAAGTGCGTATACGAAGCGATTCCAGGTTACGTGAGAACTGTTTAGAAAAAAAACACGTGACCAGGTCATGCGTGCTCATCGCACCACAGAGCAAAGTCCCCGCCCCTCCTTATGACTTGGCCCATGCCAACAAGGTCACCACCGTCCGCTTGTACTGATGGGAGGAATACCAAGATTTCCCAAAGGGTGCAACCCTCCTCAACGACTTGGCATCGTTCCCCACGAAGGCGACACATGACCTCACACAATGCGACGAGATGGTCCTTGTGCCTACAGACGACACGGTACTCAAGTTTCTGAAGCATTGGCCCGCGTTGACTCCCTCGCCAGTTGCCCAGTTGGTTAGTCACCAAGCATTTGGCCTTGGGCTCGACACATACAAGGTTGCTCGCTTCTTCCATGCCTCCATCAAGGAGCACAAGATGTTTGGTATCTACACGACACCAACACAATGGAGTGTTCACCATAGGCCCGCAGGGTTGGTGTGAGACCTCCGCACAACCGGTTGTACGCTGTCATGGTACAAAGATTATCGGCTTTCTTCAAGGGGGGTCTTTGCTCTGGAGTATCGTTGAGCGCATCCTTGGGGGTGCCACACCAGGTTTTCTCTGCTTTAGGTTTGATGACGAGGCATTCAGCATCACACCGCCACCTCTCTGCTGCCCAAGCATCAATTAACTAACATCAACCTTATGTGAGTTGCAGGGAGATCCATGCATATATAGCACGGTTAGGGCCCAACAACAAAAGACTTGAGATGTGGATGTGCAGCGACATCGACGGTGCCAACCATCCACAATGGGATCGCTGCTACACTGTGATTGTCTCGAGCAACTAGCCTGGATCTCTTTGTCCTATAGTTGTATTTGCCAATGGTGTACTAGTGTTGCGTGAGTCCACAGGATATGATGGCTGCTATGATTTGTAAACACAACAAGGTTCCATGGATGTCCGACTAACATGGCTGGATTGATGTATCACGATCCCAACACAAACACATTCGGATGCGTGAAGGATGCTATCTCAGATTTTGATTTAATCCCCCTATATTTGAACGACAGTTCCAATCTAGCTAGCATTTCCAATGTTTTGTTTCATCATCTTGTATGGAACATGTCAGATTATGAAAATTCAATGCACATCAACTTTCTCATCTCTGTGGAGACCTCTCCATATTTGCATGAACTGTCATAGAACTTACATTAAGACTAGACATGGAGAAGAGGGAAGACGAGAGTTGTGTCTCTCACGATGGCTCTTAACTTATAGGATCAGGACTCTTTTTCTTTATGTGATCTCCTTTTTTCTATATTCAAAGTTGTTCCTATGTGGTAAAAAAAAGTTGTATCTCTTACTGTACGTGCTAGTTCAATTTTTTTACGTATGTTATGTCTTTATATACTAGATGAGTCCCCGCGCGTTGCTGCGGGACATATGGAATTTACCCCAAAGTCAAAGTCGGGTGCAACTGCAATAAAATTGGTAGGAACATGTGGATAATCTGAAGAACATGCTTCTATATTAGTCAAGGAAGCATGGGATACAGAAGAACTCAAACAACTACAAATGTATGAAATCTCACATGTGAAAAAACTGGAGTGGCAACTGTTATATTCAACAAATGACATGGAAAGAAACAGTAATTAGGTTGCAGGTTCAACCCTTAAATCTAGAGAAGCAACTAAAGGATCATTTGACTACCTCAAGATAACTCAACAATTTCAACTTGTATGTTGAAGTGCACATTGTGTACACTTGTGAATTCTATTTCTTCTATAAGTAATTTTCGGTGAAACAATGTTGATTGAATAATGTAAGGAGTGAATACCTTATATTTCAACTTAAAAAATAAATAAGTTATCATCCATATCAGAAGAAAGATTGAATCTAAGAGAGAGAGAGAGAGAGAGAGAGAGAGAGAGAGAGAGAGAGAGAGAGAGAGAGAGAGAGCAGAAAGAAAGTTAAGTGCTCAAGTGAGACATCATTGGATATTCTGACTGGACATTGGTAAAAAAACTTGCAACATGATTAAAGATGATCACTCAAAACAATTTAAATAACATATGCCAATCATCTCAATTCTCACATGAAATTCTAATGCAGCACTGACACCTCATTTAAAACGTTGATCTCTCCAAAGGGTGATGCTTTGTTGTACAAAGTAATAAGAAAAGTTTAGTTAGGGATGAAAATTCCATACCATAGTAACAATCGTCTTAGAAACCCAATATGCTCTTGGCTTCACTTAACTGAGATATCTCCAACTGGTGTAGAGCCTAGGAACTTCCATCTTCACTTATAACCTTCAATAAATAATGAAAAAACAAAGGTTGTTTTGATGCTTACATAACACTTTCCTCCTTGACATTCTATCTCATCAGGCATGAAACAATCACAACTGAAAACAATGGCGGAGGACTGATCCAATTTGAGGTAAGGTTTTAAAAAAAACTATACTCTTTTTTTGCAGGGTAAAAAAAAGTGTACTCTAACACTGAAAGAATATGATGCAAAAAACCCAAATAGTTTGTATATAAGATATACACAATTCACACAGTTGTAACAATAAAATCTGAACTTCATACATTTTACAGTAACAAACAAAAATAATCAGAAAAAGTTGTACCTTTGCTGGCGTCCTTCCAATCCACCTTTTGTCCAAGCCCAACTATAGTTTGGAGGCCAAGGTGCTTGCACCGAACTGTGCTGCTGCGCTCCTTGTGCCACAGGTGGTGTGCTTGAGCCGGGATAGCAGGAGAACGGGAGACGGGCTGCGCCGCTGTGGCCTAGAGGATGGAACAGAGTTGCGTGTATGTGCGTACAATGGCGTAATCGACCCCGCCGTCCGCCGCCGGGGCTGCGCTGGCTGGGGTTCCGTCCGAGCTGTCGCCCTCGTCGACGTTTGCGTGCGAATGAATTAATCGTCTAACTCCAAATCGCTGTTAACGGAGGTAGCTGCCCAGTCCTGGTCGCAAGCCACAGGCTATGCTCAGTTCGACCCCAAAGGCACAACAACTATCAAACCCAGCCTACAATGCATTTTATGTTGCTTCCTTAAAGGGATGAACAATTGGCCGAGAACTTCGATTTGTCCACTCAACGATGGAAGCACACATATGCCCTAGGGGACCTCGTCCATGACGTGAAAGGAGCCTCATTACGAATTAAGCACACAAAAGAACCAACCAGAAACTGATCTTCCTTTTTAGATCCATAATTATCATTCCCTTATCTAATTTCTTGGTTGAAACTGAGCATGTGTGTTAGAGATATATTTGAGTTACTTGTATTTGGTAGTCTAGGATTTGTAATCTGTCTCCTACCTTAATTTTCAGGAGAGACTTCTTGCCCTTCAAGTCTTGTACTCAATATATACTCGTCCTCGAGGCTCAATAATACACCCATCATATTCCGCAACAATCCCTCTCTCTCTCTCCCTTCTAACATGGCATCAGCCTAACCGATCCAAACCCTAGCCGACGTCGTTGCTTCCGCTCCGCGCCACCCTTGAGGCGGTCGATCTCCATAATCGCCGCCGGGGGCCGCGCCGCCCGTACCTACGGTTCGTCCGCCGGTCGTGTTGACCGGCTGCCCTAGAGAGCCTTTTTTCGATCCTTTGATCCGGGTTTTCTCTCTCTCGTCGATCGTTTTGATCGACGTTTTTCTTTTTCGTTTTTCGATCTAATCTTGACCGGTTTGCGTCGTCTGCCGCCGCCGTCGACCCCCGTGCACCTCTACTCCAACCCCGGCGTGACCAGCCAGCCTCTCCTCTGACCCGACGACCACGCGCGCCGAGGCGGCCCATCAAGGCCAGCCGAAGTCCGTGCGTCGGTCCGCCCGTCGCCCTGCGCCGGCCGTCACCGCCCTGCTCCGACCGGGAAACCTGCATCGCCCTGACCCGGCGGCCTCGCGCCATGCGATGGCCAATCATAGCCGTCGGTCGCACGCCAGCCTGTCCACCGATCCACGTCACCCGCCTTCACCGCATCTGCACGGCGGCCCGGCGGTCTACCTCGTCGGCCTCGTCCTCGGTTGCGTCGGGACGGCTACGTCAGGCTCGTCGGCTGCCTTAACTCAGGCGCCGTTGTTTCGTTGGTCGCTTGGGCCTCGCTGCCCGGGCGCCGGCGCTGCTTTGGCAACCCGGGTGCCGGTGCAGACAAGTCCGCATGACGTCCCACGCCGTCCGTCATCGCCAGCCTCATCTCGGACTCTGCCGACATCCCGCCTCCACTGAGCGGCGTTCCCGACATCACGCGCGATCGACTTGATCACCCGCTCGTCGCCGCGATCTGCCTCATCTACGCCGTGCGACCGACCTGGCCCGTCGGTTACGCGCGCCTCCGCAGGTCCCGTGAAGATCGTCCCCGAGTTCAGCGCGCCCCTCCACCGATCGAGCAACGGGCTGCCATTGTGTCGCTCCATCGGGCCACAGCGCCACCGCCCCGTGGTTCTCCTCGCCCGTC